CCACCCGACGAGAAAAGCAATGCTGGCCGCAATGCCTAAGGGAAGTCTTAATCGATCGTTCCACACGTCCCAATCATAGCCCCGGCCGCGATTGAAGAGGAGGTCTTCTTGGACCACGATCGTGAACCAGATGATCGCCCAGTATCCGATCAGCGGCATCACGCTCCGGAAGATGTCGTACAGGGAATCACGACCGCCGATGGCACACGAGGCGTACACCAACGTGCTGGCGGTGGTGTAGACGGGGCGCGGGAATCTGCGCCAGACGTTTCCCAGCATCTGAAAATTCATCCCCGTCGAGTACGAAGCCGGCGCGTTGTTCGAGACAATCGTCAGGACGTTGATCACGGCGCACAGTCGCCCCAGGGGACCCAGTCGATCGTACCCGGCCATCAGCAGGCTTCCCGGGGTGCCGTCGTAGATCGACCTCCATCGGGCACTGTGTGCCACCCCACTGCCCAGACCTGCACCCAGAAGCAGGGTCACCGTGAACGCGAGGCTGGCGCCGACGGTGGTCACCGTCCAGATCTTCCACCGCTTGATATCGGGCGAGTAATACACGTGATAGTCGGCCGCGACCGGCACCCACGACAGGGGGATCGATAGACAGAGCGAGAAGAACGCCAGCCGTTTGGCGTTGATCTGCGTGGTTGTGCCCACCGACGGGCTGTCGAAGTCGAACTGAGGGCCGGCAGACCCGGTGAGGAGCGAGAAGACGATCAGCTGTGGGAACCATGCATACCTTGGGGAGGTTCCGATGTCAGTTCTCGGGGCGCTCGGGAATGTCATGGGTGGTCGATCCTCATACCTCTCATAGTACTGGAAGATCTGCATCCCGAATGTGGCCATCGTCCAGCTCGCCAATGCCACGATCACGATTCCAACGATCACCGAGAGACCTCCGCCCGATAGCTTCGACAGTAGCTGGCCGCCTACCGTCGCGCTCATCATCCCGGTGCCCAGACATGAGAGCACGTTCAATACGCAGCATACTTTGGTGGGGTAGTAGCCCATGAAGAACCGGGACACGATCTAGGAGGAAGAGGAGCCGTCAGTTATCTGGGTTGATGGCTGGGGAGGCTTTTTAAACAGTGCGGTATCCAAATGTGTCTGATGTCGCCCAAGAGCAAGTCATACCAGTGTGCGATTCCCACTTTGCGGACCCCAGGTACTCATATATCCAATCGCCAGACCCCCGAGGAGGGTGCTGAATATCACACACAGCGCACAATCGGTGAAGCTCAACTTCATGACCAGCGTTCCTAGCGATCCGGTGATCGTGTTATTCATGGCCATCCCCATGCTCAGCCACGTAAGGAACATCTCGAACGATGTAAACTTGGTGTTCTTCATGCGTTCTTCCAGCGGTACCGGCTCGATGCCGCGGGTCTCCAGCCCTTTGATGCTCCTCGTCCATCGTTGATATTTCGACTCGCGTTTATCCGGGAAGGGTCGTTCGGCTCCGGACTCTTCATGTGTCACTGTCACACTCGTCTGCAGAGAGGAACATGCTCCCTGCTTTTCGATCTCGGGTTCCATTGAGGTGGGGTCGGGGGAAATCGCTTCTCTGGTGCGAAGGGGATGCCGTTTTCGCGCAGCTTTCCTTTTCGCTTTTTTTTCCGCAACAACAAGCCGGGTACAAGTACAACCAGGAACCAACCCCAGTATATATGTGATCCTCGGAGACAAACCACAATCAGAAGCAGGATTACCGGCAGACACAGCAGGCGGGTGCAACTTCACCTCTTTTTTTTTTCCCCGGGCAGGTTACTAGACTGACATCACCCTTTGTCCTTGGTCGTGCAACCCGCTACTTTCTCTATCGACATTCCACAACCCTCCCGCTAGCTAGGGCCCTGTCTTTGCCCTCCTTAGTCTCACCAGAGGTTGCGTTACACCGCTCACCCTCCGCCCCCAGCTCTATGCTCTTTAGGAGGACGAAGGGGTTAGGTATCCATGAGAACATCAAAGAAGAACCAAACCCCAGAGAAGGGGAACCCCTCCGAGCCCCTTTCTACGCATTGCCATTGCGTGCGAATGTCACCATCCTGTTTCTTGCTTTCTGATCTCATAGGTTGAAGGTGGTGTGGTTTTCCGTAACGGAGAAAGTCATGTGGCTGGAGGCGGACCACATACCATTGTTGATATTGCCATTTTAAGCTCTACTATACATTCCAACGGAATGCTCCAACCATGTAAGGGGAAGTAAACCATTACACCGTGATCCAGGAAAAGCAACAAACCTGTTAGGCCTTTCTTAGCAGATGCTTTTCGGGGGGAGGGGGTATTTTCACTATCGCGTGGAAGATCATCGATTTGCCCAATCGTGGGGTAAATAACAGACGCAAAGGTAGTTTTTGTTGTCGCTTGATCATAAAACGCAAATCGGGAGGTATGGAAGATGAGTTCATGATTCTCTCTCTCCATTTTGAAGTCTCACATGGGCCCTTTGACGTATTTCTCCGAGTATCGCCTACATTCAACCGGTTGGCTGATCGCGTGAAACCAGCTGGGGGACATCGGATAAGTATGCCGCGTCAGGCTGGACAACCTGTGCATACTCTGATGTGGACTCGCCAAGCCCCGTCTGTACTGTGAGTAAATGTTTCGAGGATGCATCCTCGGTCTGTAGGATTTGTATCCTTGCTTTTTGATTTCTATTCAGGTGCTTTCTCGACCATTGTTCCTGGAAAAGTCGACCTCTCAATTGTCTGCCCTGAGCTCAAAAGTCAACCTCGTCATTTAGAGGGCTCTATTGTATGTGTCCACCTGAAGCAGGAGTTCTATATGTTCTAAGTTCCTGTTTCATTTGTACAATGCTAGTAGTCGAGATGAGCTACTCTAAATCGGTGCAGCGCACATCAGCATCAACCATGGATTAGCCGTTTCTTTCGGGCTGATAAGGAGGGCCGTCTGTGGCTCAACGCTTGGAATTTTATGATAGCTTCGCTTCAAGACAAAGTAGCTTGCTTTCGCTGAATGGGAGGGATATATGGAGGCAATTGGAGGATTCGCAGTATGAAGAAAGCTCACCGCCTTGATCTGGCGGCAGATGCGGGAGACTGAAGATGCAGCCCCAGGCCCCAGGGCAGCCACTCACCTGCCTACAATTACTCTTCCCCCAGACCCGTGACCCGGGATATCCATGGAACTCCCATCGGTACTTATCCGCAACGGTACGGAGTACCCGCTAATCTATCTTCCCCCGGAGCCTGTGCGGTGTCCCCACAAGTTTATCATAGACTTCAAAAACATTTCCATAAATTCCAGCGCACGAGGCCTCTATCAAGTGTCATCGAGCAGAGACACTAGATCCACCACTAGAAGCCGATGGCGAATGTCACGGAGAACTTTCCCGAGTGGAGGGGGACGTCGCTGTTCTCTTCACGCGCCTCGTCCCATCCTTACATGACATACTTCATTCTCGCCATAACTTCCTATGTCACTTTGGTGAACCTTCTACGGTTCCGCCTGGTGAAATGGGTGCACAAGAGATACAACTATCCCACGCGCGAGTCCTTCGCTCGAATGACTGACGATGACGCATGGGCGATTCAGAAGACCATGCTAGAGCAGGAGTTTCCTTTCTTTTACCTGAAGTCCCTCCAGTTCGCACTATTCCGCGTTAGTGTCCTTTTTTGTTTTCGGCATCCTATGCCATCTCAGATCACTGACGGCGATCCAGACTTACGGCGTCCCAACCATCTCCAAACTTCTCGCTGGAACGGCGCAGTTCTCGAAGCCGGAGACCTCCCTCAAGCGCTACGCTGATACCGTTGTCCTGGTCCAGGAGTTTATGGGCAATGCGCCCTCGTCGCAACGTGCTCGTATCGCCATTGCGCGCACCCGCTGGATCCACAGTGGGTATCGTGCTTCGGGCAAGATCCTCGAGGATGACATGCTGTACACGCTAGCGCTTTTCGCCGTGCAGCCCGTCCGATTCCTGGACAAGTACGAATGGCGAAGCGCGACGGACCTGGAGAGATGCGCCATTGGTACCTTCTGGAAGAGCGTTGGCGATAACCTCAACATCAGCTACGATGCCCTGCCGTCCGGCAAGACGGGGTTCAAGGACGGCCTGCATTGGTTGGAGGAGGCAATGGCCTGGGCTGATGCCTACGAAGCGAAGTGCATGGTACCCCATGTCAAGAACCGAGAAACGGCCGACCAGACCACGGAGGTGCTGCTGTATATGGTCCCGGAGGCGTTCAAGCATGTTGGCCTGAAGTTTGTGTCTTACATGATGGACGATCGTCTGCGACGAGCTATGATGTGGGTTTTCAATTTCGCCCCTCCCCCCCACGCAAGAGTGCACTTGTGCTACCTCAAGACTCGCGACATCATCTGAGTAACATCGCTGGCCGGTTGGATTGACGTTACTATTAGGTACGACTCGCCTCCGACAGCATATGCTCGGGTCTTCGCGGGATTACTGGCCGTCCGCCGGTTTGCGATGCGCCACCTCGCTCTTCCCCGGCCGTATATCCTACGGTATAAGACTTTCACGGATGTGGACGAACATGGTCGCATCTTCTCGACGGAATGGGATGCGGCGCCTTATTACGCCAAACCGACGTTGCGGAACCGCTGGGGTCCAGTCGCCTGGTTGACCTGGGCTTTTGGCCGGCCTTTACCTGGTGATGAGGGGAAGAAGTATTATCCACAGGGGTACTACGTCCCTGATGTAGGCCCGAAGTATTTCGAAGGAAAGGGTCGGAAAGAGCTGCAGCAGATTACAAAGGAGTTGAGGTCTTCGCGGAGAGGACAGTGTCCTTTTATCTAAGATATTTTAGCAGTGAAAGAACTGACCTCCTGAAGTTTTGACTACGGATCTAGAGATGATAATGTTCGACCTAATTGATTGATTTGAAATTCCAGGCGGCTGTAACGAATATCGAAAATCTTGAATATCTATTACTCAGTATCAAAAAAGGCAAATATGTTACACTTTCCAACTCATGCTATGTATGAACTTGAAACCAACAGCAACTTCACAACCCCCTAGCGCGAGTTGAAATTATCCAAGACCGCAAACTCCTTCGCAACCTCCCATATCGCTTCAATTTGCTTCACGACCTCATTCTCGAGGGGTCCCTTTTCCAACACCGTCAGAGTCTGATCCAATTGCTCGACACCACTCGCTCCCGCAATGATCGCATCACCAAGATCTCCGTTCAACCCTGAATGATACGCCACCCACCGGTACGCCAACTCTGCCTTGGGGATTCCCGCCTTCTCCGCGACCTCGTTCCAAGCGTCAAGAACCTTCAACATCTCCGGCTTCATATACAGACCACGATACACCTTTCCGAACCCCGAGTCCGGGTCCCACCGGCCGTTGGACCCGCTCGCATTCCGGAGCTGCTCGCTCGTCTTGGTCAGGAACCCGCCGGCGATGGGGCTGTACGCGTAAAACCGGATGCCGTGCTCCCGCAGCAAGGGGAAGAGGTCCGTCTCGATGAGGCGTGAGATGGCGTTATAGTTCCCCTGGTACACGGTCGGGCGCACGTAATCGTGTTCCTGACAGAGGCGAAGGACCTCTTTGGTCTCCGCCGCGGTGAAGTTCGACAGGCCGAAGTGCTTTATCTTGCCGGCGCGGTAGAGGTCGTTGATGCCGGCGAGAGTGGGCTCGATCGGGGCGCTGCGGTCCGGTGCGTGGATGTAGAAGATGTTGATCTGGGATTATGGGTAAGCTTTGCTTATCTCTGCTGTGACTGTCTGTCGATAGGTGGAGTGAAAGGAGAAATGCTTAGGGAGTGGAGGTGCATACCGAATCGGTCTTCAACTTCCTTAAGCTCTCCTCTGCATCTGCAATGACTGCCTCACGCGATGAGCGTCCCGGCCGGAACCCCCCGCCGTGCTTGGTGTCGATGTCGAAGGCCTGGGCTGCGGCGCTGGCCTGGCCGATGAGTTCTTCGCTGCGGCCGTAGATCTGCGCCGTGTCGATTTGTGTGATGTTGTGGCGCTTCAGAACCTGGAGGACCTCGATGGTCTTCTCTGCCGTGTTGAGTTTGCTGCTGTCGTTGACGAGGCCGGCGCCGAAGACGATGTTTGCTCGCGAGGTAGACATTATTATTAATGGAAATCTTTGTTGATTGATACGTTAAGAAGGAGGATGATGAGCTGGAAGAATCTCTATTAATTATATGTACAGATTGTGGTCTCTATTTATACATTGTAAACTTGGTATACTCGTATCTACTGAGGTGGTATAGATGGGGGCTTGGTATGGGCTGAGCGCAATGCCATTTGTAAGCTATCACTATATTTTCGATTTCAAATCGAGGGTTGCTAGCACCTTCGTTGGTATTTTGTCAGATCTTGAGGGTTCGTAAGGGGTGGCTCTCCTGCGGGGATTAGAAGAGGAAAGATGTTTATTGGAGATCCTCTATTCAGGGTCAAGTGTTCACATTTGACTATGTCCTTTAGCTACCTAGTAGTATGTGGGTCTTGTAGAATACTTAGGGATTCTAGACGGTTTCTGTAGTCCCTCCGTAGTCGAGACATACTTTGAGAGTGCCTTGAGCTACCGGCGTAATCAGGGGCTGTGACGTACAAATGAGTGCCTCTGATAGAAGCACTTACCTGGCCATACAACTACCCAAGATATAGGAACCGAATCTGTAGCAGCGGAGAATCGAACAGAAGCTGACCCGGCCAAGCCAAGGTTGGACCCAAACCAAAGCTTCCGCTTCCGCTTGATCGTCACGGAAGCTTCGAAGAAGATTACATAAACCCAGCAAAGCATCTCCCCGCAAAAGCCGACCGGAACAATTGGTGATCTCATCCAACCCAACCCCATTAAATTAATTCTTGCATCTTTTCATACAACTACACGCCCGGCTCAAACGAATTGATAAGCTGCCGCATATTAGTCACCTACAATCGCATTGCGGAACGCTGGCCTCAGTACACAGCAGTAAATGGCGTCACCTTCCTCGAACGACGCCGCCTCGAACCCGGCGCCGTTCGCCAATTTCCCGCAAGACCCCTCCGAATTCGACAGCGACCCGCGCATCTCGTTCTCGAAGCTTGACGACAAGTTCATCCTCGAAACCGACGACGGACAGGAATATGAATACGATATCGCTCTGAAGCGGTGGATCCCGACGGTGTGTAGCGCGCTCTCTCTCTCTCTCTCTCTCTCTTCCGCCTTGGTTGGCACCTGCTATGTGCCTACCGGGCTGTTGAAAGTCCTTCCCCTCCTCCCTCTGTTCTTGTTGGTCCCCTCGCTTCGTAATGGGCGATCTGGAGGACTTCTATGCATCGATGGGGAAACTGGGTTCGCATCTGTGTGAAAACAAGCCCGGAAAAGGGCTTCGTTTTTTGCTCCGTGCTTGGGAAATCTGGTTGGCTCGTGAAAACTGATCTTTCGCTTGGGTGCTGGCGGGTGTTGCTCTCTCCAGGTCGACGATGACTTGCTCCAGAAACAGCAAGAAGCCTACAAAGTACACGGGGTGGATGAGGATGAGCAGGTGACGGCGTCGCAATTGAAGAAGAAGCGCAAGCAGCAGGGCAATGGTGAGGAGGTCAGTTTGCACTCACTCCTGTCTGTGAAGCTTTGTTGTCTACGGGGTTACAAGGCCAGAACAAAGAAAAAGCTAAGCAAGCTCGGGGGTTTTTCTATCTCTGCAGGGCAATGGACAGAAACCGAAGAAACAGCGCGTCAACACGGCCGTCTTCGTGACGTCAATCCCCCTCGATGCCACCTTCGACGAGATCCGCGACCTCTTCTCCAAGTGCGGCGTGATTGCGGAGGAGATCGACAGCGGGCGCCCGCGCATCAAGATGTACAACGACGACGACGGGAAGTTCAAGGGCGAGGCGCTCGTCGTCTACTTCCGGCCGGAGTCGGTCAACCTGGCCATTCAGATGCTGGACGACTCGGACTTCCGGCTGGGCGTGACGGGCCCGCAGGGGGCGATGCGCGTGCAGGCGGCGGATTTCTCCTTCAAGAGCCAGCAGGAGGCCCCGACGAAGACGAGCATGCGCGATAAGCGGAAGATCATCCAGCGGACGCAGAAACTCAACAAGTAAGCTCCCGAAAGGGTGGGGGAGGTTGTCGATGATGATGATGATGATGATGCTGATCTGTTGTCTGGTAGTAAACTTGCCGATTGGGACGATGACGATCCGTCGGCTCTTCCAGATACAAGCTCTCGCTTCGAGAAGATTGTTATTCTGAAACATATGTTCACGCTGAAAGAATTAGATGTACGGAATCCGTTCTAGTCCTGCGATGATCTTCATGCAACAACTGACTCGCGGTTTCAGGAGGACCCTGCCGCTATACTCGACATCAAGGAAGATATTCGTGACGAATGCTCGAAGCTCGGTGAGATTACGAATGTTGTACTCTACGATAAGGAGCCGGAGGGGATTGTGAGCGTTCGCTTCCAGGATCCGGAGGCGGCTCGCAACTGTGTTCAGGTGGGTTGCATCCGCATGATATTTACTCCCTTCAAATGGTCCATGCTAACAGTCCATGTCGAGTAGATGATGGATGGGCGCTATTTCGCTGGCACGCGAGTGGAAGCATACATCTCCGACGGCAAAGAGAAGTTCAAGAAGACCAATGAGAAGCGGGCAGCGCTGGAAGATTTGGCCGAGAAAGGGTTGGATGCTGAAGATTCGGAGGAAGAGCAGCGTTTGGATGAATTTGGCACGTGGTTGGAAAGCTCTCGCACGGTGGAAAATACTGCCAAGTGAGAGCAGCAGCGATATGACAGGCATTTATTTTCAGGTATCATGGATGGCAAGCAGATCTGTATCCATCAACGGGCAATTTGCTTTACTATGTGGGCAAAGGACTGTGATTCCCATAGTCATATTCAACCTTAATGAAGAACATGTGTACTATAGCAAAAGGAAATTCAAAGAAGTAATGACCTCAAGCAGCGGGGAAACAAAGAAGGACCAAATCCACAACAAAAACACATGCCATGCCATGCTATGGACCAGAGGCTGAGTAGATGATAGTTCGGTTCGCGTGTTGGTTCCATGCTTTGCTTGCCCGACTTCTAAGGCATTCATTCAGCCCTTCCAACGAATCCCGGGCTGGCCAACTGGCACGCTAAACCCGATCGGGCTGAGCACTTTCCTCATTGGGATTTTCCCCTTAATATTTGGTCTGCCGGAAGAAAACTGAACAAAACAATCAAGCCACGGTTCCGAGTCCAGTCTGTGTTCACTGTTGACTTTTTTGTTGTTGATCGGGGGGTACTCAGGTAATTGTCCACTGTGTATGGAGTTACTGCACCACTAACTCACCACGCAAGCCCCTAAACAACTCCCCCCACCACCCCCCCTTCCCCCCCCCTTCACCGCTCTCCTTCTCTACCCAAACACTTCAAACTAACCCAATTCCTCGTTTTCTCCCCCTTCATCCTTCCTCTTCGACTGTCTTCCCCAGTCTCCTCCACCTAATTAATCCCTACATTCCTCCATTCTTCTCCGACAGCTATCAACCCACTTTTTTCCCCTCAGCAACTTCAATCACCTTTCACAATGCGCGAAATTGTATGTGTTCTACCCCTTCCGTTGTTGTGCTCCACGGGAGACGCGTCGTCGTTTAGACTTCACTCCCCTGATGCGCCCCCACCAGTTGTTCAATCTCAGGATCATGCGGCTAACCTAGTCTCTTTTCACCCAACAGGTGCACCTCCAGACCGGTCAGTGTGTAAGTGAACTCGTGCTGGGACACAACACCTTTGTGGTTCGGTATATTCATGCAGTGGACTAAAACATGGGTGCTGGTGACAGGGTAACCAAATTGGTGCCGCTTTTTGGTATGTCTCTACTTGAGTGAACGGAGACTTGACATGCTCTGAGGACCTGTCAAAGCTTCTCTGTGTCCAATTGAGCTAACAGTCTTCCAGGCAGACCATCTCTGGTGAGCACGGCCTCGACGGCGCCGGTGTGTAAGTACAGGCTTCCCAGGCGGCAGGAACAGCGGGTCGCGGAAGATGGTGAAGGATATTAATGGAAAGGACAGTTACAATGGCTCCTCCGACCTCCAGCTGGAGCGCATGAACGTCTACTTCAACGAGGTTCGTCTTCGACTCCTTTCCTCCGGCTGTCCCGCATCGGCTTCCTGACTCCTTCACTAGGCTAGCGGCAACAAGTATGTCCCCCGTGCCGTCCTCGTCGACCTCGAGCCCGGTACCATGGACGCCGTCCGTGCCGGTCCTTTCGGCCAGCTTTTCCGCCCCGACAACTTCGTCTTCGGTCAATCCGGTGCCGGTAACAACTGGGCTAAGGGTCACTACACCGAGGGTGCCGAGCTTGTCGACCAGGTTGTCGATGTCGTCCGTCGCGAGGCTGAGGGCTGCGACTGCCTCCAGGGTTTCCAGATCACTCACTCCCTCGGTGGTGGTACCGGTGCCGGTATGGGTACTCTGTTGATCTCCAAGATCCGTGAGGAGTTCCCTGACCGTATGATGGCCACTTTCTCCGTTGTTCCTTCTCCTAAGGTCTCCGACACTGTTGTGGAGCCGTACAACGCCACCCTCTCCGTCCACCAGCTTGTTGAGCACTCCGACGAGACCTTCTGTATCGATAACGAGGTATGTTCTGGAAGACATGGCCTCTATGGGTGACACGGCCGGTATGGGTGAAGAGGCACATAAACTGACCGGATGATTGCTACAGGCTCTGTACGACATCTGCATGCGTACCCTCAAGCTCTCCAACCCCTCCTACGGTGACCTGAACCACCTGGTCTCCGCCGTCATGTCCGGTGTAACCACCTGTCTTCGTTTCCCTGGTCAGCTTAACTCCGACCTCCGCAAGCTGGCTGTCAATATGGTTCCTTTCCCTCGTCTCCACTTCTTCATGGTCGGCTTCGCTCCTCTGACCAGCCGTGGCGCCCACTCTTTCCGCGCCGTCTCCGTTCCTGAGTTGACCCAGCAGATGTTCGACCCCAAGAACATGATGGCTGCTTCGGACTTCCGCAACGGCCGCTACCTCACTTGCTCCGCCATCTTGTACGCTGCCCGTATCCTATTGCATTATGACTTTTGTACTGACTAGATCTAGCCGTGGACGCGTTTCCATGAAGGAGGTTGAGGATCAGATGCGCAACATCCAGAGCAAGAACCAGACCTACTTCGTCG